GGGCCGCGGCAGGAAGCGTCCCGCCCGCCCGAGCCGACCGGCCGGAGCCTGCGCCCCCTGCGCCCCGAGTCCGTCCCGGGCGCCGAGGGTCTCGCCTTGCGCGAGCCACGAGCGGCGGCTGTTTCAGAAGTATTTACATTTTATTTGTATCTGGATCCACTAGAGATAACGACGGGACGTGAGCGCAAGCTCCCGGGATTGCGGCTCGGTGCGCTGCACGGGTCCTAGGTGTCCGCGCGTCCTTCCGCAGGCCTTCACCTCTAGCGGAAACTTGGCACCGACTCTGCGGAAAATGCTACTTAGACGCCGGAGCAGGGCGGGGTCCCCTACGCGGGGCTGCCGGTCCGCCGGCTCTGTACGTGCTCCGGACTCCCTAACAAAGAGCATGCGGCGAAGGACGAGTTCTCCTTTCGCTAACGCGAGCCGCTGCATCCCAGCATCTTCCAAAGAGTGGCGCCAGTTGTGTGTAGCGCTGCTGTACAGGACAACCGGACTCGTGACCTCTTCTTCCACACTTCGCGGAGGTGGACCACTGACAGGAGGGATCTGAGGAGAGCGGATGGGCAATCAGTGCACACCATTTTCTTGTGGGTGAGCTGCTCACTTTTTACACGGTTCAGAAAAAATGTTACAGGTGGAGCACTCCATAGTAAGAGAGACAGGATCATTTGAACCTACTGGAAAATGAGTCTCAGAAAAACTTACAGGCAGATGTACAATCACTAATATGTGTGTGGACAAAAGTGAGATTGGGTCAGTGCCGTGGCTCAGCGGCACAGGGCCTGCTTGGCAAGTGCAAGGTCCTGAGTTCAATTTCCTGTACCAGTAATATTAATATTTACACAAAAACCGATCACAATGAAAATTTCATTGAAATGTATTTTTCCCGCAGTGAGGAAGATTGAACTTTGGGCCTTCAAACTTAGCTAATTTTCAGCTCCATTTTTTTCTTTCTTTCTTTCTTTCTTTCTTTCTTTCTTTCTTTCTTTCTTTCTTTCTTTCTTTCTTTTTTTTTTCTTTCTTTCTCTTTCTTTCTTTTCTTCCTCCTCCTCCTCCTCCCCCCCCCTTTTCGTCTTTTTGAGACAGGGTTTCACTGCAGTTAAGGCTGGTGTTAAGCTCACTTTTAGCCCAGAATAGTCTTGAACTCACAGCGATCCCTCTGCCTCAGCCTCCTGAGTGCTGAGATTACAGGCATGCACCACCAAAGCCAGCTTTTTTTTTGACAGCCTCTCATAAATTGCTGTGGCTGGGCGCACTTCCCAGATACTGGGATTACAGGATATACCACCCACACCTGACCTAAAGCATATTAATTTCATTAATGTAAATGGAAAAAGGCACTTTATATATGTGATTGATCAAAAATTAAATTAGGTGATCACATTTGTAATCCTAGCTGAAGAGGCTGAAGCAGGAGGTCACAAATTTAGGGCCAGCTTGAACAATTTATCAAGATGTTATCTCAAATTAAAACTTAAAAAAGCAGGACTGGGGATATAGCTCAGCGGCACAGCACCTGCCTGGCAAGTGCAAGGCTCTGAGTTTGAGTCCCAGTACCAAAAATTAAAAATTAAATAAAATTTTAAAAGTAAAAAGGGCCAAGGAGCTAACTCAGTACTCTCTGGCTTCAATCCCAGCAACACACACACATACACAAACACACACCCTAAAAATTTCTTTCTTTTTTTTTTTGGCGGAACCGGGGATTGGACTCAGACCCTTGCACTTGCCAGGGAAGTGCTTATTCTACTGAGCCATCTCTCCAGCCCCCCTAAAAATTTCTAATCAAGTCATTTGATATAGGGACGTGAAATTTCCAGCCTGGCCTGAATGAGTTCGTGTTCTCTAAAACCGAAGAATAAATTTTAGGAACAAATGGAGGCTGAAGGTAAAACTTTATTGGAAAGGAAAGCTTCTGTCAGAGAGGGAAGGAAGGGGGTCCCGAGCGGGTTGCCCAGGAAACTGTCTCCTTCAGGTTATTTTATAGGACAAAACCATGCAGGGCTAAGGTAGAGACAAAGGGATCCCGCTTAGGCAGATACAGGATGGGACAAAACTATGGTCAACCAATGGGATTACAAGCACCATTGCCCAGGTAAAATTCATTAGGCCTAGGACCAAATGGGGTAGCGAGTCACATAGCAAGCAGGCGACCTTATCTGGTGGCCTTCAGTCAATGATTCTTCCTGACTAATGAGCAATCATGGATGCCAACTTCAAGGAGGTCAGCATTTGTTTGATCTTTAGGTCTGGCTCACACAGGAGCATCTCCCCAGTAAGCTGTCTGGTCTTTGTCATCCCCTTCGAGGGCCTGTCCCTGTCTACCTACAATATTTATATCTAACTCAGGCTGCCTGCAACAATTTAATCGAGTAATTTCAGTCAGGTGTGATGTTTTGATTTGAGGGAATGAGGTACAAATTGGACAACCCTAGGTGGCATCTTGCCTGCTGGGTAGCCGGGGTGATAACTCTGATAGGCTTTGGGGCAAGAAATACAAAATGCTCTGGGGCAGGGGAGATGGTTCAGTAGAATAAGTGCTTGCCTGGCCAAAAAAAAAAAAGAAGGCACGCTGCCTTCCCAGCAGTTCTAAAGATTCTCTTTCTCTTGGGCCCAGGGAGATAGCTCAGTAGAATAAGCGCTTACCTGACAAGCACAGGGTTCTGAGTTCAATCCCCGGTACCGTTAAAAAAAAAAAAAAAAAGTAACATCAAGTTTATGGCCAGCGGTATAGCTCAGCAGACTAAGTGCTTGCTTAGGTAAGCACAGGGGCCAGGGTTCAATTCCTGGCTCCTCCTGCCCTGCTGGCCCCGCCCCCAGGTACACTGAGGCAGTGATGGAGTCCGGGTATGGTGGCATGTGCTTGTAATCCCAGCACTAGAGAGGCAGAAATCAGGATCACTGTGAGTCTGGGCTGTGTAGTGAGACCCTGCACCCAAAAAAAAAAAAAAAAAAAGCTCTGGTTTTTCTCCCATAGCTGATCTGTGCTAGGTTAAACACAAATGGGGGGGCTGGAGAGATGGCTCAGTGGTCTAAAGCACCTACTTGGAACAAGCTTGGCAAAGCACAGGGACTGCGGTTCAATTCCCCAGCACCACATGCCAGCCAGCTGCGCCCCTCAGCGCTACATTAGAGGAAGTGGCCACACAGTCAGTTTCCAGGATCTGACCTGAGCAGGGTCAGATTAGAGCCAGGAGACAATTAGAACCTGGAACTAATTCCTCATTGCCACGGACCTGTGAGCTGCTAGGCTCTGCTTTTTTTTTTTTTTTGAGTAATTTTGTATTGAAACAGAATGTCAAACTTGGTAAGATTGTAGGTAAGGAAAAACTGGTATTCTGCAGTTTGTATTTTAGTTTTTGTTTTTAAAACTATTAAAAGTATATAAAAAAGGTTTCAGAAATATTTTATGTGGCTCTGCTTTTGAGGAAGTCACTGTTCTCTCCTTTTTGTTTGTTTGTTTGTTTTTCACACCTCTTTTTGTTACCTGGCTGCCCCTGCTTCCTCTTAACTGCTTTACTAGTCCTGGCGTCTGCCCGAAGGCCTGAAGGAACCCGAGCTGCTTCAGGAATGGGGCTGCTGTGCGTGGGTGGGGCCTGGGGTGACCACATTCTTTCTTCCTCTGGGCACAGAGGGCACCCAGGACATCTCTGATGGATTGGCTGGAGACATAAAGGAAAGACTAGCTCTCAAGCCTGTGTAAAATCTCTATTAAGAGGTATCTTTTTTTTCCGGGGTGGGGGGAGGATTCAACCCAGGGGCAGCTCTTCTTAAATTTTCTATTAACTTTTGGCAGTACTGAGAATTGATCCCAGCAGTACCTTATCACTGAGCTACATCCCCATCCCCCAATCTTTTTATTTTTTACTTTGGAGACAGGGTCTCACTATATAGTTCACAGTGCCCTTGAACTCACTGTGTAGGCTAGGCAAGCCTCAGGCTCATGAGGATCCTCCTGCCTCAGCCTCCCTAGAGCTGGGATTGTAGGTGTGGGTCACCAAACCTAGCTTCTACCATCACTTTCATCTTGTAAATACAACACAGTTTAAATGATCAGTGTGCTGCCATCAGGTTAAGGTAAATACTGTTAAAACATTAGGGTTGTGTGTGTGCTTGTGTCGTGTGTTGTAACCCAAAAATCAAAAACCAGACTCAAACTTAAAAAGCAAGAAAGCCCTTTATTTAGCTGAGCTCAATGGCGGCACGTACTCTTGTCTCCACGTAGGTGCGCGTTTAGTCTAGGTGAGGCACAAGAGTAGGGGGAAAAGGGATTTTACAAAGCTTATTTTGAGTTAGTTATGACCGAGGGTTAACTCTTTGTTCCCATAGACGAGGTCCCATTTTGCAAACTCTACAGGAATATGTCCTTATTTGGCTTAGGCGTTATGTTCCAGTAGTCGAAAGGACATCTGATGACAGTTTCACCCATTTTCAAGTTATCTGTTTGTTCCCATAGGAAGGTGTGGGTCACCAAACCTAGCTTCTACCATCATTTTGCAGAAGGTTGAGGAACATTTCTTATCTTCTCTCGGAGTGCTGAGAAACACTTTCTTTAAACAGTCACCTTCTTCAGGGAAGGCATGGGGGGGTGTTGCAAAACAAATCAAGGTAAGGGAAGTTACAAAGCTTGTTGCAAGATGGAGTTTAGGTTGTCAGCTTATACCAAATAGTCCTTGTTAATAAAGTTACTGTGGAAACATAGTTACAAAATTGGAATCAATTGCTCAGGTTATAACATCATGTTGGGGCACAATGTGGCTATAAAATTTGATTTTCTTTCTTTCTTTCTTTTTTTTTTTTGGAACCGGGGATTGAACTCAGGTCCTTGCCCTTCCCAGGGAAGGGCTTATTCTACTGAGCCATCTCCTCCCTGGCCCTTTCTTTTTAGTTTTGTTTTTAAGTTTGAAAGCCACTGCTGGTGGCAAACATCCAGTACAGTAGTTTACAGATGACTGTGAGCTGTTTTGTTCGTCACAGAGTCCCCCATGCCTGGTGCTGTGAAGAGCCGGTCAGTCAGTCAGTATTTGTGCGACGCATGAGCATGAAAGGCTGTATAAGGAGAGCTGGGCCTTCACAGGCACGCAGGCTTCCAGCGCAGACATGAAAGAGCTTGTTCCAGGCCAAAGAAGAGTGGCACCGGCAGAAGCGCGAAGGCCAGGTAGGAAGCAGGGCGGGCACAGAGGGAAACAGGCAAGAAGGTAACAGTGAGG